AGAGGTGCTTCCCACTTACCTCCTTACCTGGAGAAATCCTGAGCAGGCGATTCTGAGACTTAATGGTACCCAGGGATAAATACTCCCCTGGGTTCTCATGTCAAGTACTCAGAATATTGGATTTATTTTCTTAATGAAAACTAAGCCAATATTTAATCTTCTGGGCCTCACTTTTCAATTCCAGAACTGAAGCAGGTGGAACTGAAGACCTAGATATCAAATCTGAGTAATACTGAACAAATCCTAGCTCTCAGTGTGGGCAGCAGTATCTCAAGAATGGAAAAAAAAGTATCCAATGTATTCAATACTACTATGAAATCAGCATATAGACATCTACACAGTCATAGGAATGGTAAAACCTAACTATAGTCCAGAAAGAAGGAGGGGAGAGGAGAGTGTGGGGAGGGGAGGGAGGATGGTGGGAAGAGGGGAGGTTTGGGGGGGATCCAACCTAGTGTGCACAATGCGATGATACATTTCTATACTATTAAGAATAGAATATGAATGGTTTTTCCACAACAAATAAGTAAGCAAGGAGACAGTTATGTTAATCAGTTGGATGTAAGCATTTCACATTGTATATCAAATCAGCACATTGTACCCCATAAACGCATTAACGTACACCGATATGAGTTAAAGAAATAAAAAAATGGGCAATAAGAGGAAGATGTTTAAGAGAAAATAAGCTCCAGCTACTATGTCCGTCTTCGTAGGTATTTAAATGGTGCGTCACAGACAGGACTTTTTGTTCCATTCTGTTGACTTCTCCTCACACTTATTAAACGTTCCTACTACACAGGCTTTGATCTTTCAGAAAACAGCTAGAGTGGCCACTTGTTACAGATTGAGCAGAAATGAGTGGTGAATACCATGACCCATGGGTTGTTCTTTTTTTCTTTTTGGTCATTGTCTCATGAAGTTTTTTTCCTGGAAATCTATAACATACATCTAAGCAAATATTACTATATTTCATTATAGGCAAGATGCCGTCCATCATGAGATACTCTGTTATTTCATATTATCTCTAAAAAAAGACTGTCGAACATGCTTTTTAAATCCATTGACTGTTTACATGCATTTCAGTTTTAAAGATACTAAGTTTTTTTAAAAGTGCATATTAGGATTTCTGAAATCTCTATGTCTTGATGGAACTATGCTTTGATTGCAAAGGTCAGTAGCTTAAATATTGCCGTTGACAGTCTGACTTTTTAATAAGAGTATTAAAGGTATTAATGTATCTCTGGAGCAAGGATTTATGTAGAACATGTAAAACATATAAATTATATAATGGCCTACAAGTCAGGACAGATCGACAGGATTTTCATTTTATGATTAAATATCAGAAGTTCAAAGATGACCACTTTGGGTGGTATAAATGAAATCGTGTAATAAATTTTTAACCTGAAGACCTGACTTTGAAACCCCACCCTGTCTGTCCCTTACTTCATGTGTAACTCCAAACAAATTATTAGGGTTTTTCTTAACCTCAGCTTTTTAGACGGTCAGGAAAGGATAAGATGCCTGCCAGATGAGGTAGATATAGGGTCCAGAAAGGCATGTGTAGTCAATGGATCATTATGCACATGGGAGTCAATGAAATCTTCAGAGCCCCCCACATCCCTCAGGGAGAGGGACCCTGACGGATAATACAGAGAAGGACAGACCCGGAGAATGTGCAGACCTTCTCCAGCTCGTGGGATCCCACAGTGAGAAGCATTTGCAACCAACAAAGAAAAAAAGGCTTAAGGAATTGAAAAAATGCTGTCTTGAGTAGATGGTAAGGTTGGAAAATACATGTGGAACTAATGTGCATAGATAGGGGTGGAAGGTCGTGGAGTGGCTTACTTCTCAGTAGCTGGCTGTTGCTGTGCGCAAGTTCAGTGATCAAGGTGGCGCCTGGGAAGATGAAACCAGCAGCATAACTCTGGGCTCATCCACAGGCAGAAGACGGCATGTGAAGCGTGTTCTCCTTACAGTTGGTTCCTAAGAACAGTAAGCTGTAACTTCTATTAATTTATCTTGACTTGGTCTCCACTGCTATTTGCACTTTTTCTGGTGCCTTACTGAAAGGAGTTTCCTACGTGTTAATATTTTGCACCTCCTCAAAGAAATCTTGTGAGTAAAGCATTTCCAAAGAATAATACGAAAAGCCTTTGCTATGGTTCTAATACTAACGCTTTAAGAACTTTGCTATAAAGAAGACAGGTAATTTTGTTATGATTTAGGATTGCGGAAGGGATGAGCAAAATTAGAAATATCAGATGGAAAACATACCTAGGGCTGGAGAGTGGGTGGTAACTTCTAAAGTTCCTCGTAGCAATTAAGTTACAGAAGTGGGACCTCCATAAATGGGAATCTTTGCCCAGATCTGAGTCCGTTTTGCAGGAGTAAATAGTTAAAAAGTACAAATACTTGGTGGGTTTGGTGCTAATTCCTTGAAAGGAAACTCTACATGACTGATGACTGTTTTGTAGGTCAGAGGTTACTGTTAATAAGCCCAAGGCAGGAAAGGCGCTCGGTTCAGGGGAGTTCACGTGCTGTGCTGTGGTCACACTGCTGTGCAGTCCTAGCCTCATCACTTCACACCTTGGGTCTCAATATGCACATTCATAAAAAGAAGAGATTGGACCAGACTCTGATGGCCCATGGCCTTTGCTAATCACTTAGGACCTGCCTTCTCCCACTGAGTTACAGCCTCCAAATCCTTCTCGCTCGTTCACAGGTCCTAGACAACCAGTTAGGAAGTGAAAGGAAATGTCTTTTACATATTCGGGACGAGGTGATTTCTATTGACCCTTTGAATATTTATCGTTTTTAATAATATGATGAATATTATTAATAAACTTTAATAATAAACCAACTATCTCCCAAAGGCAGTATATGAGAATGTTTGCAGTAGCCATGAGTAAGTGTTGTAATCAAGGAAGATTCACAGTTCCTAACAGAAAATGAGCCTGACTCCAAGGGCAAGGGTGTGCCAGGCTGAGTTCCACTTCTCATCCTTTATGTGAAGAACACTGTATGTTTATAACCGTCTGACCTCTGGCTTGGGGATCCAGACAGAGACGCTGCCGTCAGAGTTATCAGAAGTGACCAGGTGCTTCTCATGTCCAGTCCCACCTCCCGGTTTAAGGACATTCTGTTTTCTTTCCACCAAGGACAACCAGTTTGCAATGATTATATTGCACTTGGATTGTACTGCTCGAAGCTTGCTTGGCAGTTTGAAGAGGAAAAAATGTACTTTGTCCTTTATTTAATAAGATGCTGACATTGAGTTGCTTATTTATGTAACTGCAGTTCCTACATGTGAGGTCTCGGCAACTAAGGGTTTTGAGCAGAACGTTGTTCTGAGTTCTTGGTCCTCAGCTTCTAGGACCGGGTGCTACTTGTGCTGCATGGCCCCAACCACGCAGGTGCCTATTAGTGACAAGGGGCCCTGGATAGGGGGGGTCCTCAGTATTCACCTCCCCCCTATTTGTGACTACTTTGGCATGGATCCCTCAAATGCTCCCTCCCACTGGAGTATAGGTAAATAGCACGGCCAGAAGTGAAGCTCTTTTCCTATATTTTTTGTGATGGTTCTTTTCCTAAATGGCATTTTCACCTGCCGGGTTGGCTACATAATGGCTGGTTTCTCCCTCACACTCCACCCCTGCTGCCTCCTGCCCAGGCGCATGTATGGGTCGTGACGCTCTGTGTCCCCTTCAGCTGGAGCTGGAGCAGATGCTCCTGTAATGACGGATGTGACTTCTCAGACAAGCCCCACGCCCCTCCCCCATTAGGAGGCAAATTATCTTTTGGTATCTTGAAAAGAAAGATGAGCCCAGGTTGTGTCCTCCTGCTGCTGCCACACTCCCTGCCGGTCACTCCAGGGCCTGGAATTGGCGCCCTGCCCCACTGTTGGCCTCCTGGAACCTCAGTCTCGGCAGCCCTTGAATGCCTCCATTGTCTGCACGTGCCGCCACAAACCCGGAGTCTGTTCTCGGTCCAGGCGTGCTGTCCTAGGAATCCAAGTAATAACTTAATAGCCTGTGGCCCCTATAGAGCCTGCTCTGGCGAGGGCTATGTGGGCTGCAGGGCCCACAGATGGACAGGAGCAGCTTGTCCCGGGACTGCCACAGTCTAGTCCTTATTCCCAAATCAGGAGGCTGCACGTTTACTAGGAACCGAGGCTTTATAGACGCCCCTGCCCAACTGTCTCCCCTCCCCCTGCCAGCAGGAGAATTTGACGACACAAAGAGGTGAAAATCAAAGGCCTCTGATCTTCCGTGAGAGCTGGGGAGCCCCAGTTTAATCCCTTACCTACCTTGATACACAGAGCGGAGCCCGAGCATGGGGTACTGTAGAGAGGCCTCTCCTGCAAGTTAGTTTCAGCTTCAGTTTTGCTTGTCTTCCCAAAGTGTCCAGTGCTAGTCAGGGAGCGCTCTGGTGTCACGTAACTCTTCCCAACCGCATCTGAAGGCCTGCGCACATCCACCTTAAGGGCATACTTGACTCTGCGGAATCAAGCAAGGCGCCCTCAGGCCTGACATGAGGGGCTGACACCTAAACTTGACAGCTGGAGACTTGAACTGAGCCCCTTCAGTGCCATGTGCGTCGTCTTGAACTTGTGCTAGTTTTGAGTCCCAGGCCTTGTGAGGCATATGTAACTCGCAAGTCTCTTTACCTATTTTGACCTATAAAACTCTGTGGCCCCAAGGAAACCAGTTTTTCCTCGTGTGGCAGTCAGTGTGTTAAGTCTAGACTGGATGCTCTGGTCCAGGCATTTGACAGTATTTGACTGAAAGAGCCTGGGACTGAGAACCTTACTTATGTGGGCACTCAGAGGGCACGTGTGGTGCTCACAGGGCAGGTGGGGTTCTTGGTGGGTTCTGACATCGCATCGGAACCTAACCTGTTTCTTAAAATGACCGTTTCTTCACTGCTCTTCAGTGCCTGGGACTTTTCTTTGCAGCCTGTGTGTTGCTGACACCATGTTCTGTTCTTTTTTATGCCTTCAGGAAAGCATGCCTCAGACACCTCCCTTCTCAGCCATGTTTGACAGCAGTGGTTACAACCGAAACCTCTACCAGTCTGCGGAGGACAGCTGTGGAGGGCTGTATTACCATGACAACACCCTCCTCTCCGGATCTTTGGAAGCACTCATCCAGCACTTAGTGCCCAACGTGGATTACTACCCGGATGTAGGTGTTTGCATTCCTCTGAAACCGGTCCTTGGCATTGGGCAGAAATTACAGTACAGTAGGCAGGGACCGTAGATGTTACGGAATCGTATCTGGGTTGTTAGGAATTTTTCTAATGAGAAATTGCATGTTGGTTTTTGAGTGCCTTGAGATCAAATAGGGCCTGGGCATGGATGGTTTCTTTTCAGGGTAGATACCCCATGGCAGGCAGTCTGATACCATCTAAATGAAGTGTCTGCAGGGTTGCTTTATGCATATAGCTTGGTCCTTAAATAGAAATGTCAAGGAATGCTGGATGCCTCCAGAATCTTTAATGCCTGTTTTGTTTCCAAGAACATCACTCTGCTGAGAAAAGTGAACGTAGCCAGGGAGAATGCATGGAAGAGATTTACAGGCAAGATGCAATTCTTTGTAGGTTGGACATCAGATAAGATATTTGCTTTTGTTTTAGAATGTCTTTATATAGATAGTGCTTTCTAATCTAGGGAATATGTTATGCAGTTCCTCAATCCTTACACTAATCCCAAAAGGGTAGAAAGGAGGAAACTGAAATTCAGAGTGTTGAGTGTGTGTTCATGGTCTCCCACCAGCGTTAGCATGAAACATGGGTTTCTTTCTGGGGCAAGTGAATTCTCCTTCTTCCCTGTGCTACACGCAGCTGCCCCAGGAGAGATTTACTAAGCAGCTTCCTATTGATAAAGATTTCAGATCATCTGGAGACTGCATTCATTTTTATACATATAATAACAACTTTGGTGTGCAAAGGGTAGTTTGTGCTTGCCAGTCTAATTGACCACAATATTTCTTAGTGAGTTATTGCTCCGTGGGTGATTTGTTACATAGCATTTTCAGATATGTTGCTACACAGGGAAAACTTGTAAGCAAAAGTAAAAGAAATCCTTTGTTTAGGCGGGTAAGTGTTTATGAGCTAATAAAGGCGCCTAAGGGGGGAAAACCAAATAGAATTTCTCTTTTCACTGGGAGTCTGTAACTATTATAACAAATAAGCACGACCTCATTACTGGCTTCTTGGGAGACAGTGTGGTTAAAGAAAAGTATATACTGTTACATTGTGCTGTATCAAATTGCTTAGTCTTTGAGAAAGTGAATAGGTCCCTTGAAAGCCTGCCTTTAACTGTTCTGACACAAACACTTCAGTGTGTCACGCTAGACACACTGCAGATTCTGGAGCTGTGGGTTAGATGGGTGGGTTTGGGGGATTTTTTGTTTGTTTGTTTGCTTGTCTGTTTTGGCTTCCACTGAAACACCGTACTATTTGGACATAGAATCATGTTCTGTATGAGTGGTATATGTAAGTTGGATTTACCTCTCTAGGCCTCATTTCATTCTTCTTTTCTGGAGTGAGTTATGTGTGCTGGTATCCTGGTTCCCTGAGAATGGATGTGAAAATATGCTCTGAAGAATTTCAAGAGCCAAACTTACCCGGCATGGCACGTGTTATTTTTAGTGCAGTTGAAGGGAAAAGATACATCAGAAATTAAAGGAGAAATTCATTATGCGTTGTTTTTTACCTATAGAAGGGATTACTTTAGAAACGGCAGCATATTAACTTGACCAAGAGGATGTAATGAAATGAGATGTCTAGTATGTAGGGAAAATATTAATTTCCAAGAGAACGTAACCATGATGACTTTTCTCTCTCGCCACAGAGGACATACATATTCACCTTCCTGCTCAGTTCTCGGTTATTCATGCATCCATATGAGCTGATGGCCAAAGTTTGCCACTTGTGTGTTGAACACCAGAGACTAAGTGATCCTGATAGTGATAAGGTAAAGACAGATTTTGAACTTTACACTTTTTAAAATTAGACATGCTAACTGTATGTATGGCTTCGATTTTGTAAAGTTGGTTTTCTTCACCAGCCCTGGCTGTGCCCAGGCCGAGGTACATAAATGGCATCATGGCTACGGAGGGGGCACTGTAGTGGTGAGAAAGCCACAGTGTAAACTGAACCACATGGAGGATCTCGAGATCCTGCCTTAAATTGGTGGCGTTTGTCATTGATGGGGGGCAGGGTCTAGAGCCGCTTCTTCAGACCCCAAGATTCTAGACTAGAAATTTATCAGTGACACCGTAATTGTTTATTTGATGTAGTCCATGGTGACCAATCTCACTGAATTAGAGTTGCCTTCTCTCCCTAGAACCAGATAAGAAAAATCGCACCCAAAATTCTTCAACTCCTGACAGAATGGACAGAAACATTTCCTTATGATTTTCGGGATGAAAGAATGATGAGAAACTTAAAGGATCTGGCTCACCGAATAGCCAGTGGCGAGGAGGTTGGTAACCTGAATTTGGCACAGCCACTGCCATTCCCAGACATAGCTTTGGTGGAAATGGTGCTGAATTATGCATCAGAATCTCCACTGCTTTCCTCCCATTTGTCTTTGGGCGAGCCCCTTGAATAGCGTATGTGTTGTGTATGTCATATGGGAATGATTATACCGTCCCACTTCAAAGAGCTATTGCAGAGTTTATGTGATAAGTTTGGGGCTATGTTCACATCAATTCATGCATATCCTTCATGTAGCACATGTGTTTTAACTTAACTTTACTTACACCTTTCTTCCTTCCAGAAAGGTTTGACCCAGCTAGATAATAAATGGCATAGTAATAGATGTACACTCCAGTAGATGTAAAGTAAACAACATACCAGTATATTAACAGATTGGAAGTAGTAGATTAGTCAATCGTCAGCAGAAACGATCTGAACCAAACAAGGCAAGGAGGAAAACCAATGTTAATGTTAAGGGCCGGCAGAGTAAGATAAAACTGCTGTGCTTTAAGTTCCAGGCAAAAGGAAAATACAGCAGGGTTTATCATTTTCACTGGTAGAAGAAGGAAAGGCACTAGTTCTTCAGGGCATTGCATGAAAAATTTAAAAGCTTTCTTACAAGGGACTTGGTATAGGGGGCACAGAATGAGATCATGGTAACTGCCTTTTAATAGTGTTTTCCACACATGCTCCTTGATAGAAGCCGAGGCCATAGATTAATGTATAAATTAACAAAGGTCGTTCTTCAGGGAGGAGAAGGCTGAGAAAATGCTGCAGCTGGTGCCTGGACGGCGGTTCAAGCCTAGGACCTGGTATAGGCAGAGATTAAAACTCAGTTTCTTGGATATTCTCCCATAAATATCACTTCCCTCAACTGAACCTTTGATAAAAGTTAACCAGCTGTGACAAGTTCAAGGTTATCCTTTTTGAAGCAGGCCTAGAGGGCTGGTATTCTGTGCTGAGGTTTGCTGGGGAAGGCTGTCCTTCTAGTCTCTGTATTGCTGGGAACAAGATATTTAGGCACAGATACAACTTTTTCACATGGAAAAAGCAGATAAAGCATTTGGTGCTTTCAGTGATGTCTTGTTTCATTCATCTTAAAATGCATTTTCCCATTTTGAATAATCTTCCTTGGGCATCACTCCTTCGGCGGTATGCTGTGAAGATAATGTAAGAAGCACCTTACCTCTTAGTGCCATTTCTCCCTCCAGAATCAGTCTAAAATTATATAAGATTAAAACTCAAAGAATTTGTACTTTTCTGTATTATGTTTTCGTGAGAATGGAATTAACCCTTTCTCCGTTACTTTATGACATTGTATCGAATCTAAGTGCTCAGAACAACCATATTTCTGCAAGGCTGCATGAGTCACTTCCTGAGTCATTTTGCAAGTTACGACTATTCTAATCATTCTGCCAGTTTGCCCGTTAGGGGTCTAGCCAGGTCTGAATTAATAGTTGCGTCACACACAAAGACAAAAGTTAAGCATCTCAGTGCAGTTTTGTAATAAATCTCATATTAGAGGGGTTAGCTGTTGAGTTGCTTGGCTGGGTCAATGCTGGCTCTGTGACCTTGGTTTGTGACAAGCTACTCAAAAGATTAGTGGCATCAGAAGGTCTTTTTCTTGCATGAGGGCTGAAACCTGAGTAAATAGTCAGTTTTTCATTTCAGTTAAGTTGCATATAGCTACTTAATATTATTTTTCAGTTATCCTTCCTTCCCTCTCTGGCCTTTCTAAAAGGTAGAAATTGGCAGGGCTCATGCCTCTAGTCCCAGCACTTTGGGAGGTTGAAGTGGTAGATGCCCTTGAGTCCTGGAGTTTGGGGCTGGAGTGAGCTATGATCATGCCACTGCATTCCAGCCTGCGGTAGAACAAGACCTTGTCTCGCCAATAAAAATAAAAATGAATAAAAGATAGAAATTATAACTTGATTATTTCCAAAAGGAACCTTTTAAACCCCCTGAGATCTGGTCTTTTTGTTATTTGGGATCGAGCTATTTAAGAGTTGGGCCAATGTGAGAAAGTGCTTCTGACCAGCACTGCTATGCTAATCACATATTCTTGATATAAGCCATGAGAAGTAGTTAAGGTAGTTTGAACATGTAAAGAGGTTTTAAGATTAGCCAGTTCTCACTGGGAAATTAATTAAACTGAGGTGGAGTGGAGTGATGCCCCTGCCTCAACCAGGTCAGAGTTTACAGGGAGTAGCTATTTCTTTGACTGCGTCTATCTAGTATTCAACAATTGGGGCCACACCTGGCAGCTAGGTGATTTGAGTTTGCTTTGGCAAGCCCCCCAAATTCCTAGGACTTTCTCATCTCTAAATCATCGAGGTAACTGTCCCATACTAGTGTCCTTCCTAGCTCCAAAGCTGCGTGATGGATGCCTTTCCCCCAGTTCTCATGTGGCAGGCTCCTTATCTGTCATGTGCTGAAGTGTCTGTCCTCCCAGAGACCATCCCTCACCACCACAACTACCACCACACCCCTCCCATGGTTGGCTTCCTTCCCGCTTTCCTTCATGGGACTTCATAGTGCTCCGTGACTGGGAATTGCAGTCAACCCTGCAAGGCTGGGGGTTTCACATTCACGGGTTCAACCAACTTCAGGTTGAAAGTATTCAGTAAGAAAAATTGCATTGGCACGCAACACTTATTTTCTTGTTATTATTCCCTAAATAGTACAGTATAACAATTATTTACATGCATTTACATTGTATTAGATATTCTAAGTAATCTCGACATGATTAGGGTACACGGGAACTTGCAGGTGCCACGCCATTTCCATCATTGGCCTGAGCATCCTCAGATTCCGGTATCCATGGGAGTCCTAGAATCTTCTTCATTGCTTGCTCTCCCCATTCGCATCCACACTGGCCCCTCTTTATTCACCATGAGATCCTTAACTCCTAGCTAAGGATGAATGAATGACTGGATGGATGGATGCATACACAAATCAGTTACTGGAATGGGAAAAAATTGTTTTCCTCCCTGGAAAACAATGGGCTCGGGCTTGGGTTGAGACTTGTTGCTTCTTGCCTGGGACTTTAGGGATTTTTTTTTTTTTTTTTGGCAGTCAGTGAATCCAGGTGTGCCCTATATATATATAATTTAGTCAGATTCTTCTGAATCTGCTGGGACAGTTCTACATAATTTGGCTTAATGCTTCCCCCCTGGGGATTTGCCCAAAATAAAGTGGTTTATTAGGACTTGCCTGCAAGAAACATGAAATGAGACTAATGATTGAATTACATGACAGATGATTGGAGTGGGTAGAATGCAATTTTCTCTTCCTTAAGGGGCTGGTCTTTATAATAAGAACTTCTATCTTTATTTGCCAGGTAATTACTGTCACTGGCATTTGAAGTTATAAAAAAGAATAAGTACATATTTAGCAATTCATGACTCAGGGAGGGAGCATGCGTAACAATGCCAGGCTAGGTCTTTCAAATGGAATCAAATGCCAGCAGGAAACTTCCCAAAGCGATCACACATGGCCATTTTCTGTCACACACACTACCGGTAGCACAGGGCCATTTTCTGTCACACACACTACCGGTAGCACAGGGCCATTTTCTGTCACACACACTAGTTATCTGCACAGCTTCCCCCTGGGCCTCATCGTGTTTATTTGCCCCCCATATTTTGCTGCTGCCTTTTGCTCCCTGGCAACCTGGCTGGACATTCCTGTCCCTCTGCTCTAAGGTATCTTTTTTTTAAGATGCAGAATAAAACTCTTTCACCAGACGTGCTAGTAGAGCTTTGCTTCTCAGGCTTTGCGTGTATCAGAATCCCCGAGGAGCATTTACAGCCTGCTGTTCAGGTGCACCTGAAATCCCTTCCATCAGTCTCTGGGGCTGGGACCCCAGTGGCAGGCTGTCCCCAGTCAGGTGTTCAGCGTCTTATTGCTTCTCGCTGGTACCCCCTTCCCCCCGTGGGAACCTGAGAAGAGGTGGTCATTCCTGAACGGAGTATTTTTGGTGGGAATCCTGGGAAGGGGTGGGGGAAGCGTACATGATGTAGGAATGATAACGTGCGTGGAATAACTGCTGAGATGTAGAATAATGAATATTTTAAAATGAGGGGTTGATGGCCCTTTTGAGTAAACAGAACTTTCTTACATAGATATCATAACTATGTCATCTATGAAACCTATTCCATGGGCAAGCTTTAAATGCTATTCTATAACTCAAGTAATATAGGAATCCATTCTTATGGTTTAAAATAAATAATTCACACGAAAGTTACTAAAAACTTCCAGCAATCCCAGTTCTCTCTTAAAATTGTTACTGTTTGGTGTGTATCCTTCCTGAGCTGCTGCTCCTGTGGAGGGAGTGTGTATGGTGTGTGTGTGTGTGTGGTTTGTGTGTGTGTGTGTGTATGGTTTGTGTGTGTGTATGGTTTGTGTGTGTGTGTGTATGGTTTGTGTGTGTGTGTGTGTGTGGTTTGTGTGTGTATGGTTTGTGTGTGTGTGTGTGTTTGCCCAGTGTTCGCCTGCTTTTTCCACTCGGTAATGTGGCTGAGAATATTCCATGCCAGTGCAGATAGCTGCATCTTCTTGGAACTGCTGCACAGTGGTTGAATATGTGATTGGGCCTTTTTTTTTTTTTAGACTATTCTGGTAGAAACAAGTAAGTTTTTTACACAGAAAATTCAAAAATTTTCTCAGAAAGACTTAGTGTAGAAGGTAAGTTCCCTAATTCACTTCCAACTATTTTAGTAGAGGGATAACATAGTAACAGTAGTGGGTTACTCTTGTATGTGGGCTTTAGTAACTGTGAAACTTCAACACTGTGATACGTATTTTCTACTCTGGATCACACATGCTGTAACTAAATTACCTCTAAGAAGGTGTTTATTAACTATTCTGAGTAATCCCTGGCAAATGGATGCATAGAATCCAACTTTCATGGAGGCATTTGTGATAACACTTGGGACAAAGAACTGAAGGAAACATTTTAAATTCATAGATTTCTAAGGCAACTCAAAGTTATGAAAGTAAAAGATGTAGGGGTAAGAAGGGTAAGGGATTTAAAATAGCCCTCAACTCTGCCTTGAAGAGTCTGGAATTCCAAAGAAAGAGGTATTTTCCTTGAGCGAAAAGCATATTACCAAACAGTATCTTATAAACTGATAACCTCGATGCTTTGGAGAAGATAGATTATTTTTTTTTAAACTTCGATTTTTAAAGACTTAAGTATTTCATTAGTGAGTTTTGAGTAGTCTATGAATGTAGAGAAAAATAAAGGTCATCAAATTTAAAGAACTCAGTGGAATAGTCACGAGAAGCAGAGAAGATAAAAGAAGGTTGTTTATATTTTTTGTCTCTTAATTATGTGAAAATTAACCATTTCTCTGTGTGTTGTGATTTTCCCCATATGCAAATATATCTTCATTTAGGTTTTTATAATATGCTCTAATAAACCAAATTGTCTCCATAAAAAAATGTGGCTCTTATATTCGTATGAAATGCCACAAAATTGTTAGTGAATTCATCTCAGCAGAGGATATTGTGGCATCTCTTGAATAGGCTACCAAGCCATAAACAGGCCTTTCTTCATCTGTAAATCTACTAGGACTGTCCTCCTCCGGAGCTGTTAACCTGAGGGCCTAGTTGCAATTGAATCAGCCTGTGTGTTCTTCTCTGACACATGCATCATAATTTATGTAGAAGGGTAATTGTTGTTTGGCAATTTTTGGCTAGAACAGGAAGGCTGAAAGAACTCCATAACATATATCATGATTACACCTATGATTGATTGATTGTGGATTCATTTCTTTGACTTAACAAAGATTTTAAAAGTCAAGAGGTTGCAGTGCTTTTTAAACCAATTTCTCCTAAGTGTGTGGCTATAACATAATGAAGTAGTGGGGCCATGGCATGGGACAGTCACAAGGACAGTTGTTGGGTGGAAGAGTTTTCTTGTGAACGTTGATACTGACTCATGAATGCAAAAGAAATGGACATGAGCCAAGTGGAGGTCAGAGACCAAAAAGATTACCTACTGCTTCCTCGTGGTCACCCACGGTGTGTCAGGAAGGTGGGCTGGAGGGTGGGACGTAATGGTGCACTCGTGACAGGTGGCTGTGTGTCCTCAGACTAATGAGTTTGGGAATGATAAAATGGAGAAGTCAAGAATGTGGCCCTAAAGAAAAAGTGTTAGAAAAAGGAGGGTTGGACTTGAGATCAGAGTATTTCAACCCACCAAAAGCAAACCGGTACATTTCTTAGCCAGAAGAGAGCACTCATTATGCCGTATTCCCCAATACCAATCTAGAGACACTTTTCAGGGCCCAACCTGAATCGTACTCTCAGTGGCAACCTGAGAAAAGAACCGAACCTTCGAAGTCTGAAAAGATATCCTCTGCATATGTGTTTCTTTCACACTGCTAGAGCTGGCCAAATCCTCCTGTAATTACCCTGAGTCGAGTTGAGGTAAAATCATTTAAGGACGTAGTGTTTGAGCTTGCACAGTGGTGAAAACGCGTGCAGAGCGAGGTTAGAATCCCTTGTTTATTCCCCAGCAGACATACCGGAAGAACGTCCAGCAGATGCTGCAGTGTCTCATCCGCAAACTTGCTGCCCTCAGCCAGTACGAGGAAGTCCTGGCGAAAATCAGCTCCACATCCACAGATCGGCTCACAGTTCTCAAGACCAAGCCACAGTCCATACAGAGGGATATCATCACTGTCTGCAGTGACCCTTACACGTTGGCCCAGCAGCTGACTCACATAGAGCTGGTAAGGCTGCTACTGTCCTTGCCCTTTATAACCACAGATCTGGTTTGCTTTGGCAACCAGATAGGGCATTTGTCAGCAGCAGTGTCACGGGAGGGGTCAGAATCATCTAAGTGGGAACTAATCTATGAAACAGTCAAGACCTGCTCTGTGTAGGAGTTTGGATATGAATGCTTCTGATGTTGTTGGAATTCGCTTGTAAATATTAATAAATACCAAACAAGTCTGAAGAGCCAAGAGTTTATTGACCGTCTTCATTTTCTGCCTCTAACCAATTTTTTTGTAACTTTCACTATCTTTTGGAACATTGGCCTAAACAGAAAATTGCCTCTGTTCAAAGCTTGAAGATGATGAAAGCATTTAGGGTTAAAGGTCTATTTTATAATCTGCACTTAAAAATGAGAGTGATGCCAGAAGTCAGTGGAGGGAATTGACCATTTCTTTTCATTTTCTTTCATACTGTTGACCTGCTGGATGGGAATTTCAGGAGAGGCTCAATTATATTGGACCGGAAGAATTTGTTCAGGCATTCGTGCAGAAGGACCCTTTGGACAATGACAAGGTAACCAGTCTACCCAGAGCTCGGCCCTGAAACCAGAAATAGCATTCCTTAGTCTGTGATAGTGGGTATAAGAGACAGGATTTGAAACTATTCTGATGTAGGATTTAAAATCAGAAAGGTTGTTGTTCATTATTAGCAGTGTCTGAGTCATGGCACTTTTTTCTGAGCTGCCTTTCCACGTGCCTTTATAATAGTCTTACCCCACCACTAAGTCTCTTCTTCCTCCCTATTGGGAAATTTAATATTAATAAGACCTTTCCAGCAGGTAGATGCAGGCATTTGTGGTGAAGGTAGGAGATAAAAGCATAATGGTTATAGCAGATTAAGTCAAAAAGAAAATACCAGGGAATGCTCCGCTCATGACTCAACAATAGCAAGGGCAAGAAGACAGGATGCACATCCAGGCTGCCGAGCCAGGGGCTGGACTGCTTGGCCTCTTGTTATTAAGTGAATGTGGGAGGTTTATTGCTGGGCGAACCCTGCACACAAAGACAGCAAGACCGGGCACGGACTGTAAAATCAGTGTTCACATACAAGACATTCCCGCCTCCCCCAGTGACTTGGAAGCCCTGTGACTTGTAGGCAGAGACCCCATCTCCCACCAATGGACGCCCCTCTCTGGGAATAAGGACAACAGCTGTTTTCCGGCCTTAAAATAGTTTTTCTCAGTACAGGAAGTAGAGAATATGTTTTTCCGTAGAAGGCCAGTGGACTTTTTTGTTTCTTTTGGAAGGAAGGAAAGACGGGTGTAATTAGTCTCTTCACGCTGACCTTGAACTCCAAGATGAGATTAACTACTTTTGCTTTTGAACAATGTGCCACTCACCCTACTAAAGTTCAAGATGGTATTGGCTTCCATTTACCTACCTGGGAAGGTCTTTAGTTCTTGTGACATTATGCTCCAAAACTGTGCCCTACAGCCTGATTATAACCCATTGTTGACCTGCAATTTTACCCTGAAACTATCCGCGTTACCGAGTACCTCGTGACCAGTCGGCAATACGTTGAGAGAAAGTTTTCTCGTTCTTTGCACTCTTGCTGTGTGGATAGTTATTGGCACAAGTGTTTGTACCCCATTGTTTTAGAATGCAGCTAAAACCCTTCCTTTAAATTGTGCTTTAGAGTTTCTTGAGGAGGGAGGGAAGGGGACTTTAGCGAATTCATCAGAGTACATTTCTGGATGCCAGGTGTTCCCTGGACTGTCCCGAGAGATTTTGCTATTTACGTGAGGATAATCAAGAATGGTACATGTTCTCGTTCTGTCCCTTCCTCTCCCTCCCTCCTTCCTAGAAAACTTTTCTAATTCATGAACTGAGAACAAAGGCCCATATTTGACAAAATGAGAGCCTAATACGTCTTATTTTCTCTAACTCGTGTGTTTACTTTCCTTTTTCTCTAGAGTTGCTACAGTGAACATAAGAAAACACGAAATTTAGAAGCTTACGTGGAATGGTTTAATCGGCTCAGCTACTTGGTGGCTACAGAAATCTGCATGGTGAGAAAGTGAACTTTTTCTGTCTCTTAACCCTCCATATTATTTTTGCACACTGATGGGCTCTTTGCATATTGGATAACTGCCCTCTATTTTTTCTTTTTTTTTCTGTATAGCCTGTAAAGAAGAAACACCGAGCAAGAATCATCGAGTATTTCATTGACGTCGCTCGGGAGTGTTTTAACATCGGAAACTTTAATTCCCTGATGGCAATAATCTGTGAGTATTTTCTGGAAGGTACATGTCCTATATTTTTATGGGTCCCGTGAAATAATCCACGGAAAATTTGCAGGTCATACAGTTTGTTAACAAAAACTGTACTTTTTAATCCTGAGTTATTTCAGAATGTTCAGAATGCTTTAAATAGCCAGATTGGTACCAGTGTGTGTCATCTTCCTTAAGTATGCAAAAATTAATGGAATGCTTTATTTACCCGCAGTTAAATAATCATCTATAAAAGCTTCAAAGTGACATATTTTTCTAAAGAAAGAATTTTTAAAATAATTTGGGCAGCTTGTAGATCTAGCTGTATAGAAATACATGGTCCAAGATTAAATTACAGGATTCCATTAGCACGGACAAGAGGGTGGCCTGAGGGACTGGACCTTTTCTGAGTGTTCATGCTCCAAGTACTTGTTACTCATGCTTCAGAACTTCTACTCGAGTATACAAGCTCTCCTCTCTGTACCAGAGTATTTTAATACCAGAGGCCCTTTTTCTTTCCATTCATTCTAGAAACATAAGGTGTGTGGTAGCAGTGTGTTGTACTTGTGGTCTTGCTGCAATTATTGATGGTAGCCCTTTCATTAAAGAGTAATCCTAGGATATATGACAAATTATATAATCATCCTATAAATTGCAGGCGCTCAGTAAATGTTTGAATGAAAAAAAAGGAAAGAACTGGGGTCATTTTGAAGCTGGAGAACTCACCAAATTTAAGTTGCTGATCTTTGACTGATTGAAAGCCTCCCTTTCACCAATTCCTTTTTCCATTTTGTTTGTCTATCACTTTCTCTTTGTCTCCTCCGTGAAAATACTGGCCAAGTTACACCACCTTACTGTCTGACTCACTCTAGGAAAATAGTGAACAGATGAGCCTCTACATCAAAGGCCTGAAAGGTCCACAGTCCAGATAATAGATTACTTAAATTCCTTCTTACACTGTTAAGAAAATGTCAAGGCAAGCCATAGCATGGAAGAAAATGTTTGTAATCCGTGTATCTGACAAACAACTTAGACTCAGCATCTGTACAGAACCCTGCAAATCAATAAGAAGACAAATAACCCAATGATAAAAAGGGGGTCAAACACTTCACACAAGCAGGTTCTGCATACTCATGGATAATAAGTATATGAAATGCTGTTCCACATCATTGGACTCTGGAGAAATATAACTTAAAGTTATGGTGAAATACTGTTTTACACGTGAAATGGTTAAAGTTAAAAAGACTGGTTACACCAAATATTGTTGAGGATATGGAACAACTGGAACTCTTATACATTATTGGTGAGAGTGTAAATTACTACTACTACTTTGGAAAACTCTTTGGCAGTTTCTTTTTCTTTTCTTTTTTTTTTTTTTGAGACAGAGTCTTACTATGTCGCCCTCCGTAGAGTGCTGTGGCATCACAGCTCACAGCAACCTCAAACTCTTGGGCTTAAGCAATTCTCTTGCCTCAGCCTCCCAAATAGCTGAGACTATGCCCAGCTATATTTTATTCTCTTGCCTCAGCCTCCCAAATAGCACCCGCCACAACGCCTGGCTATTTTTCTGTTGTTGCTCTTGCAGTTGTCATTGTTGTTTAGCTGGCTTGGGCTAGGTTCAAACCTGCCAGGCTCAGTGCATGTGGCTGGTGCCGTAACCATTGTGCTACGGGTGCTGAGTCTCTTTGGCAGTTACTTATAAAGTTAAACCTAATTGTAAACACAATCCTACCTTGTATTTATAGGATAACTATGTAGGTGGAGACCCACTCAATACTTATCCCATAAAAATGCAAGCACATGTTCACAGAAAGATTTGTAAAAGAATGTATATAAGCAGATTGGTTCATAATAGACCCAAACTGGAAACAACCCAAATGCCCATTTATAAGTGAAAAGTTAAATAAATTGTAGTATACATACACAATGAAATACTATTCAGCCATAAAACAATAATCTATCCAAAGACCATGGATGAACTTCAGAATCATTATGTTGAACAAAAGAAGCCAGACATTGCATGAAGTTCTAGAGCAGAAAAATCTGTGGTGAGGGCAGCCGCTGTTCTGATTTCTGTGAGGGGTGGAGATTGACCCAAAGAGGCTCTTTCTGAGAAGGGAGCTTTCTGGGAAGACGAAATGTACATTATCCATCAAGACTTAGACTTATACATTGGTCAAAATTTTTCTGTCCATTTAAGATCTAAGTATGTTTTTGTATGTAAATTTTACCTTAATCAGGAAACAAATCTCTCACTGCTGGTCCTTAAAATATGAATGTTGGTGGCGTGGAGTTAATATATGTAATCCTTTAGGTCAATATGGATTCCTCTTGTCCACAAACAGCCTCTGTCATTGTTTTTTCAAATAGCTATAGGACGTACAGTGTCAGACGGGGAGGCAGTGTGGCGCGGTGGAGTGCGTGTGGGTTATAGGGTCAGCTCACTCTGAGCTTTCATCTCTGTTACTTAGTAACTGGCTGACCTCAAGACAGTTTCTTACCTTGGGGACTCTAGCTTATTCTTATAGGAATGTTGAGGGGAAATATGAGATAATACCTATATACCCATGCAAAGTGTGGATGACGGGATGCATAAAACTCTAGGTCAGGGGTCAGCAAACTACATCCTATGGATCAAATCTGGCCCACCATTCTTTTCTTTATTCTCAGTGACCTAAGAATGGCTTTTATATTTTTGTTGTTGTTGCACTTTTCGGCCAGGGCTGGATTTGAACCCACCACCTCCGATATATGGGGCCAGCGCCCTACTCCTTGAGCCACAGGCGCTGCCCATGGCTTTTATAATTTTAAACAATTGAAAATAAATGTCAAAAGGAAATAATATTTTTAGCATGTGACTACAATATAAATTCAAATTTCAGTGCCCATAAATAAAGTTTTATTGGAACAACAGCCATATTCATTCATTTGTGTAGTCATCTCTGTAACTAGATTGTGGCTGTTTCTGCAGCATGGCGGCCGTGTTCGGTAGCTGGGACGCAGAACATACGGACTGCAAAGCCCAAAATGCTCGCTGCCTTTCCCTTTACAGAAGGAATTTGCTCATCCCTGCTCAAAGTAAATGGTAGCAATTATACTGTTTCTGGATGTAGGGGAATTTGCAAGAAAGAAAAAAAATCATAAAGTCAACCTTATTATTTAAGATTATACTGTTTCTGGATTTAGGGGAATTTGCAGGACAGAAAAAAATCATAAAGTCAATGTTATTACTTACTAATAATTCGAAGAACTCTTATAGTTAGTAGCGAGCACCTTTTTTAGAGCACACATTAAAATGTCTTTTCTTATTTCTCTATTTCCATTTTCCTCCATTTTAAATGGGAAGCTGGTATGAACATGAGCCCAGTCTCCCGGCTGAAAAAAACGTGGGCCAAAGTGAAGACTGCCAAGTTTGACATTCTTGAGGTATGTGAAGCTGGTGTTTCCCTGTGAAGTAACTTTGATAGCTGTAAAGTGGAATCCTTTCCCATAATATTGACTCTTGATCAGTACTGTAGAGGCAAACGCCCGTCTGTCCCTTACATTCTCAGGGAAAGGAAAGAGGTTTTAATTAAAGGGGAGGAAATAAGTCCGGTTATGGACTTGGCCTTTTATAGACTGGACTTGTCCATTGTGGGGTTGGTTAATGGACAGATGGCTGTCTGTCAGTCACAACATCTTGTCTGCCAGAACAGAATCTGGGTTCTGAAGAGTTGAGCATTTTACTTCCCTTGGGCCTACTGGCCTCACCTATCTGCAACATCCCAGGGAAAAACTCCCCGTCCCTACAGAAACATTCATTCCTCGTCTTTTCTATAGATTTAACTGACATGTGAAAAAGCCTTTCCGTATAACCCTGAGGATAGTAAGGTTTGTACACGAGGCTATGTGTGAATCATTTCATCCTGGGATTACCTTGATATGTTGGTGCTTGGAACACTATCTTAAAAGAAAGTGTTCTTTCCCAAATTTTCCCCTAAATTGGGCATCATTATTAGATGTATTCTGTGATGTTTGATTCACACTTAATTTAATCATTTTTTTTTTCCTTCCTGCAAAATGGTGTACTTCAATTATTTGCAAATGATTTGTTACCAAATGCGAAGGACAGGTTCACTCTGCCATGTTTGGGATCACTGCACATGGCTAATCACCACTGGCCATTGCCCTCCAAACGAAACCAAGAAATTTCTCTGATGCTAGCATTTGACTCAATTTTTAGGTTTAATCTCAACTATGAGAAAGAATGTGGTTTAGGTTTAACATTATCCAAACTGACGTCAGCTTATAATAAATACACCAAAGCTCAGGCAAGAAAGCAGTTGTGTTTTAAAGTGTTTCCATGCACGTGTGTGTGTGACAGGGATTGACCATTATGCTACTGACCTCCCCAACCTATTTTGACACTATATATGTATATAGCTAAGTGTGTGACCTTGTAAACTTCTTACAGGTGAGAAGTAATTAGTTAATATTCTTCTCTTTTTTATCTACAGCATCAGATGGACCCTTCGAGCAATTTCTATAATTACCGAACAGCTCTTCGAGGGGCAGCACAAAGGTCTTTAACTGCTCACAGTAGCAGAGAAAAGGTGGGTTCATCGTGTGTGGTTTGTGGTGCACTTGCCGTGCTGCGTGCGGAAGGGCTACGGGGATCTACCCAGATCTTTTTCCACTTGTTCAGATCTGTGAAAGGGAAGTGCGTACTGTAGAAATGTGATCACTGGCCACACAGAGAAGGGGCATCCACAGGGAAATCGGCCTGTGGAAAGGGAAAGCTGGCTTCTGGAGAACTTTGCAAATGTGTGTTTCTGTGTCGTGATTACATTACTTCAGTGATTGTTCTTTAGCACGTCTCAGTTGTGTTTTGACCGATAAATTAAGGCATGTTAATGTGACTAAGAAGAGCATTAGACAGTGATTAGACTTGGTGGGGAAGAGACACTTAAGCTCTGCACAAGGTAGCTGACTGATGTAACCTTTTCTCTTAAAAGAATTACCTTACCTCCCATGGTTAAGTCGTTTATTTTCAGAAAGCAGGTTAGTTGGTGTTACTAACATTAGGCCTGCTGTTACTAATTAGATTGTGTGAGTGGAAAGAAAAGGGCAGGGATGATGTCTGAGAAAGGGTCCTGCTCCGTCTGCCCGACTCTCAGACGAGTTAACGGCCTCCCACGTCTGCCATGCTCTTCATTCTGAGCTTCCTGTCTTGGCACATTTCACTGTCCCACTTCCATGTAGGGGAAGAATAAGTGGTTTCGACATTTGGTGATCATGTTATTTGAGAAAGGAATACCTGGTGATGGGCTGATGCAGTTTGCTTGATAGAGGTTATTTTCTGTTTAGATTCTGTCTTTTAACTTAAACTGTATCTTCAACAAATAAAAGAACACGAGGGGTTAAAGAAAATCCATGGCTTATGGATCACTTCCCCCTCCCCAAAAGCAGAAGCCTCAAAAATCTAAAATAAAAATGAACACATAACCCCACCTTTAAAAAATGCTACATTGGCTCAGCACCTGTGGCTCAAGTGGCTAAGGCACCAGCCACATACACCTAAGGTGGTGGGTTCAAATCTAGCCCAGGGACCCGCCAAAACAACAATGACGGCTGCAACCAAAAAATAGCTGGGCGTTGTGGCAGGCGCCTGTGGTCCCAGCTACTTGGGAGGCTGAGGCAGGAGACTCGCTTGAGCCCAGGAGTTGGAGGTTGCTGTGAGCTGTGATGCCATAGCCCTCTACCCAGGGGGACAGCTTGAGGCTCTGTCTCAAAAAAAAAAAAAAAAAAATGCTACATTGGTCCTTAACCAAATCCAAAATATTAGTTCTGATAGTGTTTAAGAGATACTCTAAATATTTTAACTCTTAACTAAAGAAACTTACGAGGTAACTCACTAGAGCCTGACCGAGTTTACCACCTGTTTCTTTTTTACTTGCCCACCTGCCAGTACTCCCGTGACTAGAGTGGGCAAAGATCTAAGCTGAGGGTTTGTACGCTTCCGACAGTCAGCACAGTCATGGGAAGACCCCGGCAGCCTGGAGTGTACTGGTGGACTGGAGGCTCACTGGCTGTGCGTGTTGGGCAGGAGGCCCCCCTGCACGGCCTCCATCAGAGTTGGGTGGACTTTGCATCCATGGGGAGCCACAGAATCCTGTCTGTCAGTAGGGAGCTGCAGCATTGGCCAAAGTAATTCTGAAGTCCAACCCTGCAAAAAGATGACAGTGGGACTCGAACGGCTTTTCCTAGAAGTCCCAAGTACACACCCTTTATATCATTTCATAAATGGTCTGCTTTTATTTTGTTATTTTTTCGAAACAAGTTCTGTGTGAACATATGAATTATACCCTGTAGTTGGGAAGACAAATGAAATCACAACTGTTTTAAAAGTATGCCATTTCTTTTTTACAGTTGGTCTCAAAGGCTAAGACTGAAAGCGTTTATGGCTAAATCCATCTTTTATTCAGGACAATTGGCTTCTGTTTTCTTGATTGAGGTCGGGGCGCTTTGTTCCACAGTAATTTACTATTTTACAGTCTTCCTGGCAACGTAAGTGGAGCCGTAGAATCTGTGATATTCTCTCGGATAACGTGTGTGTGGCAGAGCGGCTCATCTCTAGGCACCTGCTATGGAACAGATCAGCTCTGTCTTCTGCCCGGGAGCCCCTGATTGTTCTCTGAATAGCTGTTTTTTCCTAAGGGCACTCACGTCTGCAGGTTTTTGACCTTCTCAGGCGATCGCATGGTTTCACATCCTTTTGCCAGTCAGTTTGTTTGGGACCTTGTCTCTGTTCCTCAGTGTTCATTTCTAGGTTTGGGACTGACGCTACCTTTAAGGTGTAGTGACCGAGTCTTTGAGTTAACAATAGTTTGAAAGGTGTTTGGAAAATATTATTATATGAGAGGTTTTCTCACTAGACATCACTGGCAAGACCTTCTAGAAATGAAACGTTGACTCTCTCCTACTGATATCCTCTCCATTCACTTAGCTTGTAGAAAGCCAAGGCCCCATAATCTTCCGATCATTACCATGTTGTACTTTGTGTAGGGACTGTAGATCTGAAGGAAATTACCCATGAGTAACTGAGAAGTTGAAGAAGCCTGTGGGAATGTTTTTTCTTGCATCTATGGGCATAAGAAATGAGCAGTAAAGTATCTTAAGCCAGATTAGTTTTATTTCTGTTTCCTTGAAAGACTGATTCAGACGATCGATATTGCAGCATCTTGCAGGCACCCACGGATGCAAAAATCATGTGAGGTAACGCCTCTGCCACCTAGAATCCGTAATGTAGCTGTGGGCGCACGACCTGAATTCACAGCAAGTTCAAACGTCAGTGTCAGACAGTAAATGATCAGCAGCACATGAGTCTCAAGCTCATCACCAGCAGTGAGCACAGCAGTGAAGTTGGGGCCTGAAAGCTTCACAATACACACACGTTATGTCTTGGTTATGATTTTGTTCTTATTTCCCTGCGGACGTGTGTGCCCTTTCCCTTATGATGGTGTCTCCTTACCATCTTATAAGTGCATACTCACCTTGGCTGTGATAGCACGAGATTACACACAGTATATAGGTGAGTGAGCATGCCTGGGCTCCATTTTAATTTGAATTTCATATCATTTTCATGCATCGTGAAATATTTCTTTACAGCCACTTAAAACTGTAAAATGTGTTGCTCCTAGGCCATACAAAAAAGGCCCCCACAGGCCACAATTGGCCAACACCTAGCTTATACCACCAGCAGATGCTGGAGTCAAGTTTTAAATTAATGTCTGACAAGGTGAAAATCCAGCATTGCTCACAAGTAGTCTTTCAAAGAGACAAGGCTCAAGCATCCTTTTATCATTGTTACCATGACTGTTGAGTTTTAACATAATAGAGAAATGGCCAATAATAATAGAAGGAGAAGTGATGACATCTTTGCTAATTCAGCTTTAGAGACTTCTGCAGACAGGAGCTAATGGTTAAAAGCATATTCAAGTGGGCTGTCAAAACTGAAGTATCATTTTGGTTATTTTCAGAAATCAATGAAACAAAAGATAAAGCTTTTTTTTTTTTAACGACTTTAGAGAAAAATCTGAATCTCTCTCTAGACGTGAATTGATACTAAATATTTTTATGTGTGAGCCAAAAAGGATGTTTTTCCATTCATTTGATGTACAAGTCATACATAAGTTATAAGCTTAGGAAAAAAAAAAGAACTCTGATGTTGAGAAACAAGATAGACTTAAAAATCTGCACTTTCTGCCTTAAAGAAAATCTGGAATTATTAAAAATATTTTGAAATTTAAGACAGAGTGGAAATTGCTATATTTGACCTGTGTTCTCTGCTCATTGTGGGTTTAATATGATTTAAGGTGCCGGTTAATTAATGAAGTAGTTAGTCTACCTCATCAAACCAGAGAATGGAGGCAGAAGCATATGATTAAAGAGGGCATATTGTTTTTAAACAACCATTAATTCTAATTTACACGTTTGTATTCCCCCTTCACTTGGGGGCACGTCTGCCTCACAACATGCCGTGTGAGGACTTGTTAGGTGATTTTCCAGGAGAGCAGGTGCCGACGTGTTCTGTCCCACACAGGCCAGGTTTACTTCATAGGAAGTTTGTAGCAACTATTGCCTAAAACCTTGAGCTCTCACATTATCTTGAGCAATGTCTTCTTTTTTTTTTGAGGCAGAGTCTCACTTTGTCGCCCTTGGTAGAGTGCAGTGGGGTCACAGCTCACAGCAGCTTCAAACTCTTGGACTTAATCTATCCTCTTGCCTCAGCCTTCTGAGTAGCTGGGATTATAGGCGCCTGCCACAACACCTGGCTATTTTTAGAGACAGCTCTTGCTCAGGCTGGTCTTGAACTTGTGAGCTCAGGCAATCCACCCACCTCGGCTTTCCAGAGTGCTAGGATTATAGGCATGCGCCATCACGCCCAGCCTTGAACAATGTCTTCAAGGGTAAAAGTAAAATGTTCACCTAAAAAAAGTTCATCTGAAATATACTATCTAAATAATACAGCACTACCGATTCTAGCCAAGAGATGGGTCACACATCTTAAAATCTTAGTACCGGCAGAGATGGGTATTCTATTAATATTTTGCCAACGGGTTGCTGAATGAGAGGCAGGAGTTGCTTTAGATACTTTTTTCTTTCATTATCACTAAATGGTTTAGATTTTATTGTATGCCACTGTATTGACAGAAATAGAAAAACTGATCGGCAAATCGCTAAACTACCCACTTCCCGACACCACCTGTCCTTGCTGTGCTTTGGTTATTAACAGCATTTGTGTTTTAAACAAAATAATGTAAGGTAGGAAAATGCTGTCATGTAAAAAACAAACCATTGTCCCCTAATTCATTACGGCTGCCATGTAATCCAAAGTTAACATCGTTCATTACTCTCTTGTATTATTTGATGAGAGCCTATATGTTTATTCCTTCAAATTAACCAGAATCTTTGTTTCTCTCTAGATTGTGATACCATTCTTCAGCCTCTTAATCAAAGATATTTATTTCCTCAATGAGGGCTGCGCCAACCGCCTTCCAAATGGCCATGTCAATTTTGAGGTGAGTGCAATAATGTCGGACACAAAACTTCGAGCCACAGGGAGAGGGCAGATTCTCCAGCATTGCTTCTGGGCCCGGCAGCCAAAGCAGGTTCTGTAGTTTGAGAACCGATTTTCTCTTTCTTTACTGTTTTGTAAGAAAATAACAATAGCAAGCAGAGTAACTGTACTGTTATTAATTATCATCATTTTTATTATCTGAGGGAACTTGAGTAAATTTTTACCAATATTAGCAAATATAATTTTTATTAAATTTAGACATGTATACAGTTCAGAAGATTAAACACCCAAAGGAAGCATTTTAAATGAAATCATCATTTCCAAGCTCATAATTTTTGATGACTGCCTTTAAATTCTTTTGTTCTTTCCCAGAAATTTTGGGAACTGGCCAAACAAGTGGGTGAATTTATGACGTGGAAACAAGTGGAGTGTCCGTTTGAGAGGGACCGGAAGATTCTGCAGTATCTGCTGACAGTCCCAGTCTTCAGTGAAGATGGTGAGGCCACACAGTGGGGCTGCCGCCAGCATCCCCACACCCTACGGGGAGGGAATTAGAATAGGAATACTTGGTGCTGGCTTCCTCATATAACATGAGGCCTGCCCTCTGAGCTGTTCTATCTGAAGAGTTTTCTGTATAGGACAAGACCTGATGATTTATCCTTAAAATACCTGCATTTACTACTCACCCAAAACAGTATGTTTCTGTATTTGAACGTTCTTTAAAATATCAGAGCTTGCAGATCTTTGGCCACAAATGGAATTATTGAAGGATGTTTTTCCCTCTCATTTGGGCTTCAGTAAAGAAAGAGGTATTTTGTGATATTTTGATAACCAAGATACTTTGGAGAAGAAAAACCCAGAACAGTAAATTGGTACCCTCTGCTGTTCAGAAAAAGTAGTAGAAAGTCTTGACTTGTTAAAACATTAAGGAATTTGAGATAGAAAAGTGATTGAATGTATATGGAAAAAACTCACCAGAAGAGAAAGTTCAAAAAAGATTTGGGGATTTATTCTACTGATGAGTTATATTCTAATATTATAGGACTTTGTTGCACCCATTAACTAACAATTTCTCATAGTAGATTGATACCATTTGCAATAATGTCTGAAGAACATTTGAAATTAATATTACCTACTCTGCGGGGGGTGCGGCTTGATTGTTTTTAATCTCAGTAAGTGGGATTAATAAACTTTTAAATTTTTGGATGAAGAGTCTTTCTCATTTAAATTATCTACAAAAGGACTTAAAAAACAAAACAAAGCCACCAGGAAAGAATCCCCACCCTTTTCTTTGTAAAGAATATAAATCTGAATGACAGCATCATTTGGCTTGCATTTTATACATTTTATACATTTTGCCTCATAAATTCTTAGTTAATTAAATGCTTTTCTGGCTTGGAAGCCATTGTGTTTTTGTTCAGATGGTCAGTCAGAGGCAAAGTGATACTCTGTGTTTCTCATGAAGCTTCTCAGTCATCACTAGATATTTTATTTATTTATTAACTTATTTACTTATTTTGTGACAAGAGTCTCGTTCTGTTGCCCTGGGTGGAGTGCCATAGCGTCATAGCTCACAGACACCTCAAACTGGACTCCTGGGCTCAAGTGACACTCTTGCCTCAGCCTCCCGAGTAGTTGGGACTACGGGCACCTGCCACAGTGCTTGCCTAGTTTTGCTATTTTTAGAAGAGATGGGGACTCGATCTTGCTCAGACTGGTCTCCAAGTCCTGAGCTCAAGCTGCCACCCACCTCAGCCTCCCAGAGTGCTAGGATTACGGCGGGGGAGCCACGGCACCCAGCCATGATTTGACATTTTAAAAAGTGTGCTTTGCTGTAGGGTTTGCCTCTAGTTCAGTGGTTCTCAACCTCCTTAAGGCCGCGGGCCTTTAGTACAGTTCCTGTGGGTTGGGACACACAGGCCGAGAACCGCTGCTCTAGTTGAAGGAGGGCTGGAGTGGGCGTGCGTATCAGAAGGCTCCAGTGCTCACACACTTTCTTTTGGTTGATTGTAGCTCTCTACTTGGCTTCGTATGAGAGTGAAGGCCCTGAAAATCACATAGAGAAAGACAGATGGAAGTCTTTAAGGTGAGCCCACTGCTCTTACTACCGACCGGCCTGGAGGAAAGGCTGGTTACTTGAAGCAAGCCGCGGGCTTTCTCTGGGAAGTCTCTGCCTTCCTGTTCTGAGTTGTCGGCACGTTCTTGGCTGTAAACTGCGTCCCTGTGGCTTAGAATTCTCATTGCTATTATTTAGTTTTATTTCCTTTCTTTCTTTTTTCTATACTGGCAGATAGACAGTGGCTCTTTTCTTTTTCTCTCTCATTATTTAATGAAATGAGCTGAAATGACCTCACAGTATGTTATTTTTAGAAAAAAAAACTGACTAATTTTCTGTGTCAAAGATTTGGATCAGAAGTTCAGGCTTTATTTCTAAATAGTTCTAACAGTAGAAATTGATTTAACCTGAAATAAGAAAGAAGTAAGCGCCAGTTGGCTTGGTAAAGTTGGGTTTGTCACTTACCAAAAAGATCTCAATCCCCTCTTTAATTTGAGAGAGAGTTGGGACTTTAAACATAATCTGGAGGGCTTTTCTTTTCAAATTTAAAAATTTTGCTCTATTAGTAGTAGTTTGAAACAAATGTATTTTCAAACAAAATTAGGATAGGGTGAAAATTTGTATTTTAAACATTTGAGATACTTTAATAGGCAAAAGCAATCTAGACTATAATATAATCAAAATTGCTACCATTTCTACAAAAAAAAAGCTCTTGGAATACATTTTTGTACTAGAGTTGATAAGTGCTTTTCTTTTCTTTTTTTTTTTTCAGTTTTTGGCTGGGGCTGGGTTTGAACCCACCACCTCTGGCATATGGGGCTGGCGCCCTACTCCTTTGAACCACAGGTGCTGCCCAATAAGTGCATTTTTTCTTCTTCATTTTATGGTCCCAGAACCATATGGGTGCCTTCATTATATTTGATACTAGAATAGATTTTGTGAACCAAGTTGTCTAATATTTACTTGGTTTTGTATGATTTTGTTTGAAAGGAAAATCTAGGCTGCCTTCGTACCTCCCAGTGACAAGGGATGAGGTCTGAAGGCTTTGGTATTATTAGCTTTAGAACAAGTCACAGTGGTCGGTAAAGGAGTGGAGATGTTACTCATATCTCAGACAGGAGAGGACACAAAGAAGGAGTGATGGCCTGTCACAGGCTTGCTGGGCTGCTGCTGAAACACATACCTTCTAAAATATTACACCAGCCGGTGGCACATTTTAATCTTCTGTTACTTTGCTTTTATATTTAAAGGTGTTTCCTAGGCTCTTTAGTATTATTCATGAGCCTCAGAGTATGTATCTTACTGGATAAAATATTTGAGAATTACTCTTTTATCATTTTTAGATAAATTTTGCCTTCTGTCCTTTTTTTTTTTTTTAAATCCCCCTTTTCTATTTTTTAAGAAACACTCAGTTTGGTGAGGCCCCTGAGTATAGTTTAGCTATTGTTACTTTCAGTGTAGATATTTTTAAAAATTGGACAGCAAATTGGCTTTGTATAAATGATACCTGGTATCTTCATTACCTGTAGCTTCCAAACATATTAAAACAATCCAGACCTTTCTATAACTCTTTTCTGATTGTATTATTATTATTATTATCATTGTTATTTTGAGACAGAGTCTGTTGCCCTGACTAGAGTGCAGAGGTGTGAACACAGATCACTACAACCTCTAGCTCCTGGTCTCAAATGATTCCCCTGCTTCATCTTCCTGAGAGAACTACAAGTGTGTCCCTCAACACCTGGCTTTTCTACTTTTTCTATTTTAGTAGAGATGTGGTCTTACTCTTGCTCAGGCTGGTCTTAACCTCCTGAGCTCAAGGGAGCCTCCCACCTTGGCCTCCTAGAGTGCTGGGATTATAGGCATGAACCACCACGCCCTGCCTCTAGTTGTTATTCTTTGATGAACTAGTCCTGTGGATATGTGGCTGGGCTGAGAAAGTTCCTAAGGCAGAGTTTGGGTAGTGGAAGGTAAAGATTGAATTGTCTGATATCTTCCTTGTCTGTACGCACTACTCACACAGTCCACAGTAACATTTAACATTTGATTGGTTGAAAGGTAACCACAGAATTTAGTGGAGGATTTAGAAATGTCAGGCAAAAAAGAAGGTGTACTGGCTTAAATTCAGACATGGGTTCATGAATCAATCTGCAGCTGTACCAACTTAAAAATGCTCAGCAATAATGCATCTGGTAAGACTTGTTGGGGGACTAGCAGTGGTCCAAATAAAATGAATGGTTTATAAGAGAGTGCATATATATACACACAGTGACCATATGTTCCTAGGTACAAAAGATAGTTTCCATGTTAAATTGTTTATTCAAGGGCCTTGAAGACACACCACTACCACCTCCCGCCCCGACCACGTCACGTCTGTTAAGCCCTGGGCTCCAGCTTGTCCATATCCTGCCTGTCCTTGTGGCCCAGCTGCACTGCCTCCCTCTTCCTGGCCCACTTTCCCCAGGAAGAGCTGCTCCTGAACCACACACACATCAGGCCGTCTCCCTCCCTTAGGACCAGCCTCACGCTGTTTGTGTAGTGTGGCTCTTTTCCCTGCTGCTGTGTAAGCCCCATGAGGACAAGCACAGGGCCTCCCCCATGCCCACCCCAGCACAGGACACAGTGTCTTGCTGGCCATTGCTGCTCAGCCCATGCTCCTACAGTGTCCTTGGGTGACACAGAGTTTCTGCAGGTGTTGGCCAAGGCTTAGAAACCACAAAGAGGCTCAACAAAATGAAATGGCTGTTGTAATTTACAAAACCACACAAATTAAATGTATGGTAGGATTAAGTATAATCATCTTTTGGTATCTGGGGGCCAGGCTTCCAGGACCCACCTCTGAGAATACTCATGTCCCTGATTTAAAGTAGAGTAGTATTTGCATATAACCTACACACATCCTCCCGTGTACTTTAAACCGTCTCTAGATTACGTATAATACTTAGGGTAAATGCTGTGTTAGTAGTTGTTATACTGTATTGTTTAGGGAATAATGACACGAAAAAAGTCTGTATACATTCAGTACAGACACAATTTTTTTTCAAATATCTTTGATCAGTGGTTGATTGAATGGATAGATGCAAAACCCAAGGCTACAGACAGCCGGTTGATTGAATACATAGAAAACCCAAGGCTACAGACAGCCGACTGTATTCTAGAATACAGCACCTACCTGGAAACTTCATATGCATCAGCTTTCAGGCCAGTAAGATATTCTGACATAGCTGCTTTTCCTGTTCCCCCAGAGGCTTGCAGAAACTCAGGGTCTTCCCTAGCACTGACCAGCTCACCTCTGGGGGCAGACCCCCTTCTTGTCAACGACGACTTAAGCTTTCCTGGAGTTCACAGAATGTGTTGTGAAGATGCTTCTGTATACTTACTAAGTAAACCTATCTGTGATCAGGCCAGCACAGACCTAAAAGCTCTTTATCCTCAATGGTTTTGATTTTTTGTTTTTACTATAACATGAACTCACGATACAGATTTCAAAGCTTGATTTTTTTTTCCTTCCTGTTTTTAATTAAACTTAAACTATGGGAAAGATAAAATTAGCATTAAGTAAGACATTTTATTCCTGCTCGCACAGTCGGCCACATTATCTTACGTTGTTCTCTTTCCTATCCAGGTCAAGCCTCCTGGGCAGGGTTTAACACGTGGGGTCTGGCTGCTGTTGCTGTGCCGCTGGCTGCTGCCACTGCATCCCCCAAATCACGGAGGGGCCGGCCTTTGTTTTCGGGCATGTGGTACTCGGAAGAATCACCAAGACCCCGCAGTCATTGGAGGGCTCCAGTCGGCTAAGCAAACAAGCTCACTCAAGAGCAGATGAGGAACTTCTGCAGATTGACTCCGAATCTGTGAGACTGAAACGTTCCCTGAAGACGCTTGAGAAAGAATCTTCTGAAGATTCCGGCTCTGCCCATGACTCATCTCCTGGAATTTCCATGTGAATCACAGCTCTGCACCTGGATGGAGCTTTCTTTTATGTGTGTGTTTTTATTATTATTTGGTTGAACATTTGCTGCTAATGGGACTTGCCCAGCTGAGCACTGGCTCTTAGGAAGCCCATGTTTCTTTGTTAACTTAAATGGAAAAGGGAGAGGAGGGAGGGGATCTAAAACCCTCCACATGGATCCCAGCCCTCAGCTCTGTCAGTGTTGCCTGAGGAAGGACAGAGGAGGACAGAGGAGGGACGCTGGGCTCTGCTCCCCTTAGTGTGCTGTGTTGTGAATCCCTCTCCCTCCCTCTCTTCCCGCGAGGTTTTGAGTTGGCTGCTGGTTAGCAAACTCCTTTTTACCCGTATAAGTTATTTAATATAATAATGAAGCTCCACACTGTGGTAGGAAAATAGCCACTAGGAAACTAAAAAAGCAGAGTTTGTCAGTGGTCTGCTTAACGTGCTAGAAGGACCTTTTTTTTAATGCCCTTCTGAGCAGTTTACGAGTGACCACCATGTTCTACAGATGTATTTTTCGGTAGGTTTTTGTTATTTCGTTTTCCATGATGCCTATTTTTTTTTTCCTCTTGTAAACTTAAATGATCTGACTTTAAGGGTCTTGGGAAAATCCCTGGCATAATTACGGCTTAATTTTTTTTCACCGACGATTATTTGTCATTACTTTTTGGAGTCTGTTGGTGACTAACCATGTCAACAAAGAATAAATTAAGTTACCACCACCCCCACTGTCGCAGTGAACAAAACAAATGAAAAACACCTGACTGTTAACTCCGTGGCTGATCTAATTATGAAATAATGCAGCTTGTTAAACATCTAAATGAGTCTGTAGCCGCTCTGCAAACCACTGTTCTATTTACCCACTCTAGGAGAAACTGTAGAGTAGTAATCCATGCTGAGAAAAACAAAACAAAACACCGTGTTCAAAACAGAGATGTATCTGAAAACTTAATGACGTGGTTCCAGAAAACAGAGCATGTATCCTATGCCACTGCGCGTCATCTCAGCAGACTAAAGTATCTCTGAGTTGTCCCTTTACGGCATCAATATATTTTACACTTTGCGGCCAGGAGTTGTGGCTTGGTTGTTTTCTTTCACGGATGGAATTGGGGGTGGGGGGGGGCTGCTGTAGTCTCCACAGATCAGCTCAAATGACCTGCTAACGATGTGTCCTTCCTTGAGGAAGTTGCCTTGGGAGTATGCCTGTGGGCATTTAGTATCTAAGAATGAATAACAGCAACCATTTAATAAAAATCATTCGCCAGGCCTTTAAGTGTTTAGCATAGATCTGTCATCATCATCCCCCCCTTATTAGGGGATGGAAACAGGCATATTAAAATCTAATAATTTGTCCAAGGCCATGTAGCTGAGAGGTGCGCAGAGTTGGACTTAGCCTTCTAATTCCAGATCTCAGGCTTTGAACCACACCATCAAGGCATCTCAGACTTCAGTATCCTCGCAGGGAACCTGGGGATCTCATTTACCTGCAGATTTTAGTCCTGTAGCTCTGGGGTGGGGCTCAGGTGATGCTGAAGCTGGTTTTGGTATCCTACATAGACTAGCAAGGCTGAGATTTTAATTAAGGGGGGTAACTGAGTGAGGCCAATGCCACTGAGAGATTATTACATTTCTTGAGAGATAAGGGGCCATAGGGGAAGCACCAGTGTCAGTCCGGAGCCCTCAGCCTAGGCCATGGCCTTGACTGAGGTTTCCACAGGAAAGGCACAGCAGAGCAAGGCAAGCAGTTTGGGACCCGTGAATCGGAAGAGTCCCAGCGGGTTCCCAGCTGTAGGGGGTGGTCTCTGCTGGTCTCTACCTGGCTGTGGGAGGTCGGGCATTTTCTATATTGCCATGGTGTGTGGGAGTTAGATACCATGGGGGATGTTGGGGGACGTTCTCAGCCATTTGCTGTCTCTAAGAATTAGCTTGCCCTGGGAGAGTCCGTCTCTTGTCTAATGGCAAGATTTTTAAGATGTCGGAATATCACAAGATGTAGAAAATTAAAAAACACGTTTAGTACAATCCCACAACACTGCCCTTCCCCGGAGTCTGTGTCACTTTAGTTATTGCTGTGACAGCCACATTTATCTTTCACCCATCTACACCAGGGGTCAGCAGACGATGGGCTGATGGCCAGGTCTAGCCAGCTGCTCGTTTTGTGCAGCCCACAAGGTAACAATGATTGAAAAAAGTCAAGAAGAATATTTCGTGACATGACAATCCCGGGAAATTCAAATTTCCGTGCCCATGAATGGAGTTTTACTGGCAGATGGCCGCACTCACTTATTCATGAATTTTCTTCTGGCTGTTTTTTCCTACAACTGCAGAGTCTTATACTTGTGACAGAGACCATATGGCTCGCAAAGCCTCAAATATTTACTTTCTGACACTTGACAGGAAGTTTACTCCACTGATCTAAGTGGGTATTTTTTTTTTTTTTGAGCTTTACAAAGATAGTTAACAACAATGCTATGAGATCTCTATTATTCGCATTAGATACCTAAAGGTGTGGCTGCTGAAAAACTCTGGGATTTCTTTTCACAGAATGAGTTACCATTCTCATGCATAGCCTTTCATTTTAATTTCCAGATAAGCCAGAAGTTTACACCCCATATTGATGTGTCTGTGGGAATCATTTAAATTCTCCCATTTGTGGCGTCTGTGTCTGATTCCCCAGTGGGCCTGTGGGTGCATTTATAATTTATGTGGCTGGGTGGGACCTGGAGGAACGTATATGAACAGCACCAGGCAATATCAGTGGGCAGGCTGACTCAGGATGCGCTGCGCCCAGACAGGCCACACCACGCAGAGCAGAGCGACACCACGCATTACAAAGCTGTGCATTTCTAAGTGGCAGCCTTGGAGCTGGAACTCGGAGTAGGGGGAACTCAGAACAAGTTTGGTTTAGCAAAGCAAACAGACAGTGCACCTTCTACTACTGACGCATCCCTTGTTTTTGACGCCACAGCCAGAGTGGCCGACCTTTCATCTAATAAAAACGACACACACAGAAACTTGTCATCCCGGCTTTTCTTCTCCACTCCACCTCCCTCTGGTACCTCGGCCATTTCCTCATATACTCTCATCTTTCACAGACACTTTTGCTTTTCTTTTTTGTAGCTGCTTTTTCTAACTGCTATTCACACAGGCCCTGTGTGTAGAATCCCAAGAAAATATGGCCACCCCTGGAAGCCGAGTCGCTGAAGTATATCAGAACTTTGAGCCGTAGATAATGCACATCCCTCGCCTTTCACTTGGGTGCTCTTTGTTTACCCTGTGGTCTGTCTCAGCAAAAGACAATGCCTGCCTCTATTCCAAACATGCCTTACAATTGCGATGGACAATGCACAACTGGGAATAGAAAAGAGGCTTGGACTAATTTTCTATTGGAGCTAAAGGTTCAAAGGAATTCCTGAGTTCGTTTCCTGGAAAAAAATGTGGTTAGTGACCTGGAAACTACTAACTAAACTCACACAACTCACGAATACATGCCTATTAGATTAGCTTTACCCTTAAGACATTTTAAAAAGAAAGACTTTTGTTAGATTTGGGCTTCTAGAGTTTTCATGGAAAATTCAGGTACTTTCTAGATAATTCAAGCCAAAGTGTCCTCTGCCTCCCCCAGGTTTCACTGATTGGATAATTGCCTCATTTCTCTGCTTTATGTAATTGAGATCACTTGACTCTTCTCAACGCTTAAAAAGAGATGGTGGGGTGCCCGGGTTATGTATCCAAGCTTCATGGTTTGGAGAACTGTGATTCAAAACTGCAAACAAGGCTGGTCTTGTACAAACTAGACCACTGTCATAATTTCATATTTAAGAACCAGCTCCTCTTAAAGGATGCATTTTTTAAACTCCATGCCATGAGAAAAATCCCATGGGCCAATTTTGTTTAAATTGCTAGCAGCCTTCGGAACGCTGAAATTCTGTTTCGCAAGCTTGAAACCCTGCTTCAGTTCCCCAGAATTCTAACGAGACAGTAAACATCCAAATGTGTGAATTATGCGCTGGACGGTCCGAGGCAGCTGTCTTGGACTGTTATCAACTGTTAGCATACTGAAGTTTGTGTCTGCATGATCCAATTTAGGAATCCTAGGTAATGATTTTTAGTTCATAATTTAGGGAATTTAAGAGGAGGCAGGGAAGTGATCATTCTTAGAAAAAAAGAAAGAGAATTATGTAGTCCCTGATGAGCGTCAGACCAGGGGATTTTCTACCAGGAAACAAAGTTTGCTTCATTCCCTCTTTCTACCTATGCTGCTTGGAGAAAATGAAAGTTAGCATGAAATCATCCTCCTCTGGATGAATCACTGTGGGAAGGTAAGTTTGACAGAGTGTGTTATCAACTCGCTCGAGCTGCGGTGGCTGGAAGATCATGGGCATCCTTAAGTTTTCGCTACGTGATTATGAATGCAGGTGAGCTGTGGTGAGAGAATTAACTTACACTCAGCAAACATACTTGGAATGCATGAGCAAGGTAATTACCTGTCTGCTTAGCACTCCAAGTTCACAGGTCTCACTCATATGGTTGAATAAATTTCAAGTGTCCCCCTGCAACATCTGGATTTCCAAAATGAGTGTACATGGGATTCTAGTCCATGGGCATGGCCGGCCCAATCCCAAAAAGCAACAAAAGAAAAGGCAACCCTGGAAAAGTTTTTAAAAAAATTATCATTAGAGAGTGAACACTCCCCTGTGTTTATTAATCTGTATCAATAATCAAGATAATGAGTGCATTTTTAATAAGAATATGAAAATCCATCATCAAGATAAAACTGGGATCCACGTGATTTAGGGTCATGGGAGAAGTTTTAATACACTCTGCAAGAACATTCATCCAAGAATGTAAGAACTGAACATCACTCTCCTCAGGTTTCTGGGTCTTTGGGGAACTCTTCCCACCTTTTTGAACTTCAGCTCCTCACTGATAAATAATGGGTCTGGACTAACTGATAAGGACCTGCCTTCAGGGGTCTAATAGCCCGTGCTTTGGGAAAGCACTTTCTCAATTTGCTGGATTAAAAGGTAAATTAGCAAGTAAATGCAGCATCCTGCATTTGTGTCTCCAACCTTCTCATCTAGCCTAACTCTTGTGTTTTGTTTAATTGTATTTAAAGAGAGAAGACATACGAGGCTAATCACTACTTTGCAAGAGACAGAGTATTAAAGGCTCAACTCAGCCCTCCGCTTGCAGGCAACCTACCAGGAGAGAATTCTTCATGGTAAAGAGTGATCCTTACCCAGACCCTAAATCAGAAAATAGCCTTGGTACAAGGTCACTGTTGTATGAATTTAAAGATGCTAGATTAAGAAAGCAGAGTTTAAAGACTTATAAAAATAGCTTTGTTGTGTAGCCTACACCTTTGTCAGGGCAGCTGTTGCAACTGCTTGTTGATAGAGATAAGATCACGTATGAAGTGCCTGTTCACACCTAGTCATTTACAAATGAGTCATTATTTGGCTTACAAGACCCAGACTTAGAGAAGTGACGATCAAAGCCCGCTTCTGCATCTTGTCAACTTTCACTCATAGGGACCTGCCTGTTTTGCAGGCTATCCAGACAGGGTGGGCTGCTGAATTTGACATGTGTGTCGGGGACAGTCCTACACTGAAGGAAACCAGGGGACACATCTTCTTTCCTTGGGCTATAAATGCTGCACAAATTCTAATCCAAGAGCCTCCTCCCACCTCCCAAGAGAGAAAAGATCAAAGGATGAAAAAGATAAACAGCAACCCCCAGGAGGAGAGAAAGTGCCTAACAAATTAAATAGCTCTTTACAGGCAGGAGAGTTTAAGAGTCGGCAGAGTCCAAGCATCTGAAATACTCAAACCCATTTAAAATCTCAGGAGAAAACAATGAAGCTGGAAATACGTTCTCTTAGAGAAGCACAAACTGGTGGCTATTGAAAGAGATGCCGGGCCATTGTCTATTTTGCCTTATAGAACTAGATAACTAGGACAATTACTTTCAATTACAGTAACTTACTGAAGTGACTCCATGAAATAAATTTTATAAAATTCAGGAAAATAGAAATTACCAATCTCCACCTACTCAAAATCGGTAAAACCTTTGTGAAAGTCTAACAGGGGCTGACTCAGTCAGGTCAGCCCTAGATGGGGACAAAGGATAACGGGGGAGGGGGGGTCTTAGGCACTCCCCAGAAGGCTCCAGAACTGTAAAATGCTTTCTATCTTTACAGTATTCTCTCATAATTAGGTTTAAAGATTAACCCAACCTTTGATGACCACTGGGGTAAAAGGGTTCCCTTAG